AAAAAAAAAAAAAAAAAAAAAAAAAAAAAAAAATTTAAGGTTTTTATGATTAAGGTTTATAATGACTCTTTTGACTTTCATAGATTTTTTCTCTGTAACATGGTCTTTAGAAATGCAAATCTACTTTTAATTTTACTAAGAGTTTTTCAAAACTAATTAATTCATAATTAAATTAGAACGTGTCGTGGAAATATTTTGCAATGGTTTTACAGAAATAATTACTACTATAACCACAACACTCACAAAAATAAATCACCCTGACAGATGCAAAAGTTATAAATGATATAAATTTGAAATAAAAAGAATTATTCATAATGTTAACACTTTTTCGTTATATTGTATCCGAAAGTGTGATGACTTAACATTTGATTGTACTTTCATACTTATTTTGGTAATGTTGGCACGTACTGGTTCAATTGTATACACCGGGAAACTAAATATTATTAGGGTCCACTTAGTAACATCAAAGAGTTCAATGTGTACCATCTACATCTATAATATCAACCAAACTACTTATTATACTACGACAAAACTAAAAAATCGAAAATATTTTGCTCAAAAAGTTAAAAACACTGTTTCCTTGTAAAAACTTTATACTGCAAGTAAATATTCTATCCAAGAAAATAATAAATATAATAACATTGTGATTAAATTTCTATAAAAATAAGTAAATACATAATAAAACTATAATAAATACTATTTTGGTCTTCTAATTTACATTTCAAACCACTGTATCCTGTTTAGGTATAAAATTAGTAACATATTTCAAAATATTGGATCAAAAGTTGTTATTGGCCGGTCGTTATATTAATTAGATCATTTTCCAACAGTTAAATATATCAATTTGTGTGTTTCCATTTAAAACATTTTAGTTCGTACAAATTTAAGGGATAAGAAGGAAGGATAGAACAAAAAAAAATTTTTTTAATTAATAACACATAAAAATCTTCAGGGTCGTGTATTAGGGTTTTGTCTTAGAGAGAATATACATAAGAAAATTGTACACATCCCCCTCTAAACCAAAAAACATTGTATCTTCGCCATAAAATTATTTTTGTTATAGGGGATATGACACCCCATATCCCTACATGATTAGGTCAGTATAAATATAATAATGATAATTTATTTTGTAATTTTGAAAGTATTGTGTAAAGCATTACTTTGTATTAAATATTTAGCATGTTAATAGCATAATTTGTATAGTAAATAATATTTGATTTATAATTGTCAAATGCGATTTTGATCTAAATAGATTACAAAATATAATATAAAAATAAATAATATATTATTTTGTATTTTTGAAGGTATTGTGTCAATAAATTTCTTTGTGTTATCTATTTCACATTTTATTAGTTTAGAATTGACCCTAGAAAAATAGTGTGATTTTTTAAGAAAAGTTTAAAATTCTTACACGTATTTTAAAAGCTTATTTTGTTTACGTTTTAACTATATTTAATTTAAGTTCCTATGACTTTCTATTCGTAAATTATTAAGGACAGACGTTGTAATAGAACTTATTTTTAAACTATGTATACAGAATGGTTCGTTTATTATAACCAACAAAATTATTTATAGAATAAAAATAATTTTGAAAATATAGTTTTTGCATTTTTTATTTACCTTTTTCTTGATTTATTAATTATTAAGCAATTAATTACTAAATTCATCCCTTAGTACTTAAAAGCGTGACTACTTTTTTTAAACGGTAACTTGCATATTTAAATAGCTCATAAAATAGTAAATTATCTAATTAGGAAAATCGGCTGGTCGATCACAACTTTTAGACTATTACTTTTAAAGTCATAACCATTTTAAAGTATAAATTGAAGGTGCGGTTAGATATGGTATAAAAATGCTAATAAGTTCTGTAAAATTGTTTTTATAAGCTGTTATTGACGAGTAATTTTCTTAATTGATTCATTATCTAATAAATCATCTAGTTAATTATTTATGTTGCCATTTAATAAAATAAAGTTGATATAATTTAAAGGTATAAGGGACGAACTAAAAATTTTCCTAATAAATAAATCAAGAAACATATGTAAATAAAAAAAGGCAAAAAATATATTCTTAGATTTTTTTTCATTTTGTAATTGATTGAGTGGGTTATGACAAACTAATCAATCTGTATGTCACAAAAATGGGATTTTAAATTTTTTTATTATATGTACAGAAAAGGTAGTTGTATTTTTCAATTAAAAATTCGAAAATATTTATAACTTATATAATTATATTATAAAAAAATAAACACATATGGCAAATATTATTTAAAATGTAAATTTAAAACTAAAAAATATTTAACTCAAAATACCATAAAAAAAAATATTATTTTATAAGAGGGACGGGCAATGCTTAACGCTTACTTCCTCGGGTTCGAAACTCGGTCACGGGCGGCTTCATTTGCTGTGCAAGAGATCAGTTTGGTAATTGGAGTCGTCATCCCTCTCTTTGGCGACGGACTAACCACCCATCCTAGAAGATCAATGGTTAAGAAACCTCCTCCTTTGGGGTGGCCACCCTGGCCCTTAATGGGCTTATAAAGCGTTAAAAAAAAATTATTTTATAATTTTTTTATTTTTAACAACTTTTGAATCAGTAGTATAGGAGTTGTGAACATTTTTTACCTGATTAGGAGGAGTAGCGTGATAGAGAAATTATAAAAATAATTAAGTTGGTACCTTATAAGGGGGTTAGGTATAGACCTAAATAATATTAAACTACTTAAAAACTAAGAAATAAATAATACTAAACGAAGTAAAATAGAAATTCTCAAAATTACTTTTAGTTTATTATAAATTTAGTGGTTAGCGATAATTTAATCTATCTGTATTTTTAATGATATTGAGTAAAGCATAATTATAGAATTAACGTGTGTATTATTTTATTTTAGTTTATAAATAAAATATTAGTATATTT